TATTGCAGGTCGTGTCTCTTTGAAAGTTGGTAAGTTTTGGTATCTTTCTCTTGTAATGTTCACCGCTAATATTTCGCAGTCACCGTTGGCGGCGCCGTTGCCTTCCTCATCTTCGGCTTCATCTACTTCATTGAAGCCTTCTACGCATGATTCGTCCTGCGTCCAACTTCGACTCTTAAAATTCCTTCTTGTATAGAATACGCATTCCACACGTTTCATCAGCCTTACTCTTAGTGTTGTCCATCGAAACGACGCAATCCACATTCGCTGCGTACCAACTTTTAATCAGAAAGGTCCTCGGTTGATTTCTACTATTCGGCGCGGGAAAGGTACGAATCATATGGCTGAAAGATCACACGAGACGTCGAGTCTGCCTTATTGTTCTGGATCATACATATGAAAGCAAAGGGTTAAGGGGAGGGGACATCCCCTTGGGAAATCAGCGTTCGGCTGCCATGGAAAGCAAAAAAAACAGAAAGATGTGTGAGAGCGGGATCATGTATAATAGCGACAGTGCTGGCCATAGGGGCATGGGTTGGGAGTTACCAGGAAGAGGAGCCTCTCGGGTGTCGTGACCCTGGAGGCTCCAACTCTACACAATGTATTGACGTTATCTGCACCACTCCGACTTGTTCTTTTGCGGCGCTCTTGAACTCATCATCATGCCTTGGATGGTATCAAGATCTATGGAAGAGGAATCGCAACATTCGTGCAACAAAACGACGGTAGAGACGAACAATCACGAGTGACAACCATTTTCAATGACTTCACAGAGAATACACCATGACGCACTATCCGGAGCTTGTTAGGAGTAGCTCGAAGCCATGCTGCACTAGAGTCGTAGTTCAAGGATCCGGTTCCTTGGACCAACATGCTGACAACCATGTTGCTCCCCTTCCTCCCCCACCTTTTTTTGACGTTCATCCATGGCAATTGAGTCTTTCGGACTACAACACAAAGACGACACAACCATGGGCACCATTTAGCGAAGTCATCCTACCTCTGCATATCTAAGTAGAAAACTGCATCACCAACCCAATTACCCACTTTAATTGGCCCCAGACCTCACCTCTCTTAAGTCTCAAACCGAAAGCCCACAACTCAAAACTCCACCAAGAACCCGAATGCTCGGGCGGACATACTTCTTCCGCGCAGACATCGACTTCCCCAAAGGCGGTGCCCCGTCGACAAAGCACTACACCAGAGACCTCGCCGCGCGGCGCCCCGACGACCCGAGCCCGCGGCTCTGCGCGCGGTGCCAGGACTGGGACGTCCCCGAGTTCGCCGCGGGGCGCGGGTCCAAGGCGCATTGCTACCTCCCGCTCGCGGCGGTTCTCCGGACCGGGGCCGGGTGTCTTGTCTGCGCTGCCGTCGGGGCGGCTGTGGAGGCGAGGAGGAGGGCCGGGTCCGGGTGTGAGAGGGAGGAGTGGTTGAGGCGCGCGAAGGTGGAGGAGGTGTATATCGCTGTGCAGGGGCCGTTTTTCCTGGACTCGGGGTATGCGGTCGACCAGGAGAGGAGGCTGGCGAGCGGGGAGGTGAGGTTGTTTTTGGAGGTGACGGTAAGTCTTGTAAGAGACGGGGGAGGCGAGGTGCCGGTGCCGGTGCCGTTTGCTGTGACGCCGCAGTTCCGGATGAAGTATTCTGCGGGAGGGGAGGAGGTGCCGCGGCTGGTTGGGGTTGAGGAGTGGGAGGTGGATAGGTTCGATATCGGGACGTTGAAGGGGTGGATTCAGCATTGTGAGAGGTGGCATGATGCTTGCGGTGCTGAGTATGCGTCTACATGTGAGTTGTTCCCTGACTTCGGGAGGGAGCATGGATGGCTAGCTGATCATGGGGGGTGCAGCTGAGCTGCCGCGCGGGTTCCGCGTGATTGACATGCGGGATATGAGGATCGTGCAGCCATCTGAGCCGGTGCGGTTTGTCGCGCTGAGCTACATGTGGGAAGCCAGTGAGGGCACCGGCCACGCGCAGCTCGTGAATGCTAACACGGAGGATCTCGGGGCGGAAGGCAGCCTTTTATCGGTCTCGCTACCCCGGATAATCACGGACACCATCTCGCTGTGTAGGGACCTCGGGGAGAGGTATCTGTGGGTGGACCGGCTGTGCATCGTGCAGGACGACCAGCGCTCGAAGCCGGACCAGATTGACGGCATGGATCGGATTTACAGGTCTGCGGCGTTCGCCATCATGGCTGCCTTGGACGACCGCACGGGAAAGGGGCTGCCGGGGTACATTGACGAGAGGAGGTCGCGGGCTTCGCTTTGGGGACCGCCGAGGAATCGGAACAGTCGCCGTGGGATCGATCCGAACGGCATCCAGGCTATTGTCGACCCCTCGCTGTGGAACAGGCGGGGATGGACGTTCCAGGAGAGATTGTTTACGAAGCGACGGTTATTCATCACGGAGTATCAGGTCCTGTTCGAGTGTTGTCGCGCGCAGGCTGCGGAGGAACTCACGTGGGGGCCGCGTTTGAAGGACGATCCGTTTTACTCGCCCGTTGAAGAGGCCGACCACCAGGATGATCATGATTGTGGCGATGCCGATGCAGATGCCGGCGTCAGTGACGATGGCGAGAAACGAAAGAAAAACAAACACTCGTTCGGGACAGGATTCTACTGCAAGCCGAGGTTCGGCAAGTCCATCACCATCCAACTCCAAGACCACATCACGCTGGCGGATTACTGCCTCTGGGTGGAAAACTACACGCCGCGCGAGCTCTCGCACGGCGGGGACGTCCTCAACGCCTTCGCCGGGGTCGGCAACGCGGTGAAGAAGGCGATGAAGACGGAGGTCATGTACGGGCTGCCTGCGGTGTGTCTGCCGCAGGCTTTGATGTGGAGTCACACGGGCAGGGCGGCGCGCCGCGAGGAGACGGCCTGGATCCCGAGCTGGAGCTGGGCGGGATGGGGTGGGAAGGCGGGATACAGGTGGATCCATGGAGAGGAGAAGCTGAACGACTCTAAGCTCGTCCGCGTCGTGACGCTGGTTGCATTCCACTTCCAGGATCCAGGCCGCGGCCTGGGGAGGGTGGGCGTCAGGGAGCGATGGCTGGGCATGGAGATGCGCAAGATGAACATTCTGGGCCCGGACAAGTTGCCCAAGCTGCAGCGGCGGATGAGCGGCGGCCGGATCATCGTGTCGGAGGAGACGGACCGCATGTACGAGGAAATGTGGAATGCGTGTCCTCATAGCCCGTGGGAAGCTCTTGCGCGCCCAGGGCTAGATCCCGCGGCCGTGGAGATTGCGGGCGATTTCCCCGGGTGCTTGGTGTTTAATACCACCGTCGCGTCGTTGCGGATTGGGCGTGATCACAGACGACCGGGAACGAGGGCGGCGACAGGCGAGTTCGAGGACGCAGAGATTCTGGACGTGATGGGCCGGCCAGTTGGGTACCTTGACAAGATGGACCCGGAGTGGATTGCTGGGCGGAAGGGCAAGAGGGATCGCAGGAGGATGCTCGATTTCATCGTCATCAGCGCTGGGATGCAGGAGGCCACCAGCGAGAGAGGCCAGTGGGCGTTCATCGAGGGGCAGTTTCATGAGTTGTGGCAGTTTAACGTCATGCTTGTTGAGCGGCTTCCGTACGAGCAGTTTGTCGCAAGGAGGGTCGGGGTCGGGTGTGTGAGGGTGAGTCGATGGAGGGAGTGTAATCCACGCTGGGAGACTGTCGTGCTATGTTAGATCATGTGAAAAATGAGACCTCTTGAACGTTCAGATGTTCGTTGTGAGCTGCCGTTGAGGTGAAAGTTGCTGCGCTGACGATATTGGGCGGTTTACATGGTTGCTATTGGTGATCGCGGCGCGAACCTCACAACGTCTGCTGGCGACTACTTAACGGCTTTCGAAGCGGCAACTGTAATCCAACTGCTCAAGTTCTATCAATGGAGTCTGACATGGGCACGAGACGAAGTTGGACTCGAGGGCTGAGGTGGACGGCAGGTGCGGGAGCGTCGCGAGTTCCAACCTCAAACGACAGCGACGACGAGAACTACACGCACGACGACAGGGCGACAGCAACGGCAGGACCGACAGCATGCTCTGAACGCTCGACAGAGCAACTCGAATTACGCGTACATGGGCGTTGCATTTCAATCAGAGGTAGCGCAGAAAGCGACACACGGATTACAGGTCTCTTCTTCATACCACTGCTCGAGGCAGTGCGCACAATGAAAAGATGTCTTGCGACAGGCAAAAATCAAAAATTGCACCCACGATGGCCCCGAAGGACAATCGAGAGAGGTCGACTCCGCGATGTGCAATGCAGGCCTCCCTCTCTGCCGCCCGGATTTCTTGATCCCCAGACGGCCAGATAAGGTAAGTATGAAGAAAAGAAAAGAGAGGAAAACAAGCAAAGACGCGCGAGGAGGCCACATATTTATAGACTTCGTGAGGCGGATTGGATGCCTGGGATAGCCTGACTCGGGGCCGAACCACCACGTGACGCGATCGGAGCTTTGCTGCTTTGGGGGATGGTTTGGCAAATTGGGGAAGAGAGTGTGGGTCCAAGTCGTTGCTCATTAGGTTCACTTCGAGAATGCTGGGTCCTTAACGCCGATGTATTCAAGTTACACAAGTTACGCAGTATCTTAGGTACATTTCTGGCCTCTGAGCTTTCGCAGAGATGAGTGGACTGCCATAGATGTTGGAATGATTTACTGCTTTTTGCGCTTTGAATTATCAGCGATGATCAACGGGACCACTCGCAAACGCTAGCTACGGACTCAACTCAGAGGCGATAACTACTCAAAGTGGCGTTTGCTGGAATGAATTTTCACTTTTTCCAATTTTCTTTTCGTTGAAACGCCAGTGTCTACTGCAAAGCTAAGTGCGTATTGAACGGCACTACTTGGCGAGAATTAGTTCGTGAAAAGGTCGCATTCATTGATGTACGAAAGCATTAAAAATAGGTGCCCCCAACAATGACTTTAGCTGCCACTTCTTGGTTTCTCAATGAGATCGTTCCTTGCTGCGTCTCTCACGCGCAGCGTTGGTGAAACCGACTAGCATACTTTGGTCAGCTTCTGTAGTAATGGGACGAGAGAGAGAGGAAGAAGTTGCGGACCAGCTTCGTCGCGCCATGAGGTTAATCTCTTGAGCTCTTCGGGCAAGTCATTAGCCCATCGATAATGCCGTTCAAGTGCGAGACGTAGGCCCTCGCCACAGTTCTTCTCAAAGTTTCCATCTTTTCCAAGGTGGCGTTCTAGCTCGCGCAGTGTCTTTCCATTGCCCGCATGCCAGTGCATTAGCTCGCGTGTGTCGTTCATGACTTTTATGACTTGATAAATGATATTATGGAGTACACGCGTCCAAACATTGGATACTGGCTGAGACGACTTCGGTGATCATTGTGTCGATTTCGGCGACGATAGCGTCAGTGGCTTGTTCGGATAGTTGAGACATGGGCGGTAGTGAATGCTTGTGTGCTTGCAGTAACCTAGGATGAGGAGTTGTGGTATTGTGTACCTTATTGTCCAAAAACAATTGAATAAGAAAGTAAAATGGTGGTATATGGTAAGGGAAGGAAGAAACATGCGGTTTGTGACGTGAAAGGACTTGCAGTGAAGTTGAGAAAATTCACGAAGCTGTTTGCGTTTAGGTCAGCGGAGCAAGCAGGGCCAGGTTTTTGCCAACTTGGATACGAGGTGCAAAGGGAAAAGTTAGAAGGGAAGAAATATGCATGCCACCGATGTTGCCATATAAGGTAGGGAAGGAACATTTTAGCCGTCCTATCACGCCAGCAGAGCCGAGAAATAGAATATCGGAAAAGCCACAGCTTTAAATACTTCCATATCGAAGAAAGCAAGAGCTTAGATCGCGATACCTTACACTCATAACCAAAGGCTACCCGGCTGAAGCCGACATCCATGTCACATCTAGAGTCAGTATCATGACTTTGGCTCAAGCTGATCTCTCAATTAGCTACGTACACTGCGATGGCACTGGAGAGAGCACTAACCAAAGTACCTTTGCTGCTTCCCCCCCAAGGTACCTTACTGTGAAAACCCGAATTGGGAGGGCGAGGAACTTCCTCAACGTGTTGCAGTTGGCAAGATGATATGTCCATCATATTCGTGCGCCTGATATTTGTGAGAAGTATAGGAAAATGTGAATTGTAATTGGTGCTTTGCTTGAGTGTCAGCCTCCATCTTGGAAACAGGCCATCGAAGGTGTGGACCTCGGTTTCTGACGGTTTGGACTGCGTCAAAACCCAATCCAATCTGACTGATAAGCAACTCATTCTGAAGTCTTTTGATTCCCTGAGATGCGCCTGCTTTCTCTGCTCCCGTGACTCCTGCGAGAGAATCTACGTTCCGAATGGGGCGTGGTGATGGAAATTTGGCGGTATCGCGAAGTACTGGCCCGAATGTCTGGCGCAGGTGGCAGTATCAGTACCTAACTCTTAGAGTCAGAAAATATATCAGGAAGTTCTTTCTTCGTCTGTTTGCGAGTTTCATTTGAGCCTTTGGCGGGGATGATGCTTGCGTGTTTGCCATGGAGAGATGAAGGGATGTGGCGCAAAGGCTTGCCTGCTTAAGAAGAGTGGCAACACGATTTATTAGTTTCTGCTACTACATAGCTACATAGGGATTGACGGACTCCTTCATTTACTGATCAGTGCCTGTTACTCGATGCCTGAGTGTCCCAAACGCTCCAAACGTGTGATCGTCTATACTTCATGTTGGCTCATCGTCTGATATCTCAGGCGAAAACTGCGACCTTCGCGATGTCTCCCAACACTCCCTCAACGTCTCCTAAAACCTTTCCCAACGTACTATCAGCTTCTCCCACTCTAGCCCCACCTTCCCCAGCCCCTCCACGTTCCCCAGGCTCTCCAGCGTGACTGTTGGGATTCGTGGGCCCTGTAGTGGGCTTTGGATTTTCTACAACAACCGTTTTGGATCCCAGCTGGTTGGGATTCCCGGACTCCACGACAATACTCTTCCCGTTCGGGGCCGACCCAGGATTCTCAGCTGCATTGTTCGCATCGGATCCACCAGAGCTGTCGTTCACATTCCCAGATGCTTGGCCTTCTTCGCCTTTGGGAGCGTCACCATTTGCTGGTTTGTCAGCTCCTGACGGCTCAGTCTCTGCGGGCGTCGGCTTTGGCGCAATATTTCGAAATTTCTGAATCAAGGAGCTAACACCCTTGAAAAGAAACTTGAGAGCCTTCCAAACGTAGGGCAAGGCGTGGATGACTGCCTCTCCGAGTTGTTGCTGCATATACATGTTCATAGCTTCATTCCCAAGGGTGACGAGTGCAGACCATCCATTCATGTCTTGGATAGCCCCTTGAGGGGTTTGAGGCGCAGTCAAACCTGCATCGCTTCCAGAATCCGTTTGATCTCCGGTAGTGTCGCCGGAGGAGGAAGCGCTTGGGCCGTTGACATAACCATACCAGTTGAAATCTGCGGGTTGTTGGTCTCCGCTGGCCCAGAAACAGCCTCCAAATTGGTCGCCAGTGTAGGGACTATCAGGATCAGAACCCGCGATAGTATCATCTCTCATCTTGAGAATAGCGTTCGAAGAATTCCCCGCTGCCGAGTTCCATTCCAGTGTGTCGTTATTGAAGGTTGGTTGGATGATTGTAACGCCGCTGAAGCTGACATTCCCACTCGAATCGATTGTAACTGTATCAGTACTCAGTTGGATACCAATGTTTGGACCCTGCTGAGTCTGATCAACTGTGTAAATGTTGTACTTGCCGGCCCACTGTGGAAGGGACGAGGCTTGGGTTGGTCCTTGACTGGTTTGAGCAGCACTGGCGCTGGTGCTGGAACTGGGGTCGGGGAATTTCCCCATGCGGCCCATGAGGTTGGCATCGCTGGGCTGGTTGTGGCCCTTGGCCCAGAAGAAGCCCTGAAATTGTGGCCCAATGTAAGGATTCGCAACAAGATCATCGCTAGCATTCTTGTTATCTCGATCAGAAGCGGGATCCAGTTGGGAACCGAGCCCAACCAGGCTGACAAAGTTGAGCCGGCCATTATTCCCATTGGTGCTATCCGACCAGGTCAGGGTCGATTGCTGGAAGGTGTAGTTATTAATCGTTATTCCAGAGATCGTGATATTGCCGCCTTGAATCACGATCCTGGGCCCCGGTGTGCCCTCGTCAATGAGCTGAGTGTTGTAGTCACCCTGCCAATAGGACAGGTCATTAGCGGAGACGCTCGCCAAAGCGGCGTTGACATCGGAGAGTGTGGTTTGATAACCCTGCTTTTGGAAGAACTCGTTCAAGGCGGCGGCGGTCGGAGGCACGTCACCATTGACGACGAACTCATCGTTGTAATCTTGATACAGACTGTCGTTGCTTCGGAGGGCTTGGACAAAACGGGCGGCTTCAGTAGTTGGGTTGCTGGTAGTGGAAGACATAGTGCCTTGAAGTTTGCTTGTGCTTATCTTTGATGGATATTTGTACCTAAAGGTAAGGTAGTAAATGTAGAATCGTAGATGAAGAACTTGGGGAGACAAACATATTGGGCGTCACTGGGTGCCAGCCTTTATAGATTTATCCCCCCATATACGCCAACTCCCTATTGCGTCGACGTGAGATTCACAATAGACTGTCCGGAAGGAACTCCTCAAAGCCCATTCCTCCTTCGGTTTACGATTTACTGTAAGTATGAAGCGTATCTGATAGTATTTGCCGCGGGACTGGACTGTCTGAAGTCTCACTATCTCAGGGCCTGTCTCGGTGATGATGTGGGGCATCGCGTCACTTAACGCATTCAGCATTAGCAAGCACCAATCTAATGTGAACTAACAGGGATTTTGAGCGCTAGATTTCCTTAGTCCGCATAACGCAGCATAGTGATGTGCTATAAGCACACAGTTTAGTCCTTGTAGCGAGTGTGCTCCGCGAGCCCCTACTCGAGGAGCTTCCAGCCGCAGCCACGCCAGTATCACCCGTTTGTGATCGTACGACAACGCACCAAATACGGATAATCAAGCAGTATGATGGCTTCAGCTATGAGAACAATTGTGGTCAGTGGAGAGCTGAAAGCTCATGAGATCAGTCAATACACTTACGCATGCAGATTCAGCTACGAAATATGACACGTTTGTCCCCGGACAAGAAGCAACAACTTACAAGCATCCTGGGCAAGGGGTAGCACACTGTGAGAATTCAATCTCATTTGATACTTGGTTTGGACCTGGAAAACGATTAGATTCCTGTCTCAGCTGAAGTTCGGGGTACCGTGACCATCTTCTTTCCAAGTGCTTCGTTTCCCATGAATCCGTGTGAAATATTACGAAAAGAGGTACAGCATTACATGGACAATATGACAGATTCAAATTGAACGAAAACCTCGCCCAAATGCAGAACGAACTTATAGGGGAGGTTGCGCCCCAGAGAGTGAAAGTGGAAACTGAAACCTGGAGCAGTGGGCGCTCATCGTTCCTCTCGGAAATACAAGGATGTCCTATTTCATTCGCTTATTTATTTGAAAGACCGTAGATTGCGATATCTCTGCTGAGCGGAAATCTGTTCACAGATACTTTTTGCTGTCAAGATTTGATGTGAAGGCTTCCAAAACCGCAGTGTCATCATGCTCAGAAGTGAAGAATTTCTGTTGTTGCAAGAACGAACTTTTGATCAGGAACTGCTCCGGTTTCTTCTATCAGGGCATAGTTTACGTGATGTGCCGAACTAGCCCGGATTCCCCCCATCCCACTGGTCAAAATGTGCAGCTGAAAGACATCTTGTCACACCTTTAAACCATAGCCGTATATGGTATGTGATCAGAAATCGCAGCTCAGCACTTTGTTTGCATTCAGGTCGCTCATATCAGGCACCTCATCATCCTCTCCGAAATGAGTGTACCAGGCCAGAAAGTCCGGGATGGTCTCAAATATGTGCTCACCATCAACGGCTGTGCACAGAGTGTACCTCCACTGCCAAGCATCCTCGTCACATTGGCGGCAGGACATCATGCTGAAGTTGGCATCAGGTCCGGTTCCCGGCGTCCAGCCTCCCGCAATCTGCCAGAAGCTGCCGAGGCCCGCATACTCCTCCAGTTCCTCGGGCGTCATGACTGTTGAGGCATACGAGCCCAGGTACCGTCTACACCCCCACCAGAAAGCTGGCTGAGTTGCGTTGCGCCAGAAAGGTATGCCGTAACCGAGGACGCCGTCGACCAGCCCGGCCAGAATACGAAAATCTTCTGGGATAGAGATCGTCTCCCGTACGTCCTCTCTTGATTTCAGCTTGATATTCTTCTCGATTTCGTCAAGGTACTCGCGTCGCTTAGCCTCGCGCTCCTCGTGACTGCCCTGGTGCATTACGTAGGTGCCGTCGGCGCCGATCTTTGGGGCGAGCTCGTTGTAGCGTGTTAGAACCTCATTTGGCTCTGAAACACCAAAATCTGGGAGAGTTGTATCGAGAAGGGAGCCCAAAGCTTCCAGGCGGAGCTCATTGAGATCTTCGTCGTCTTCCAGCTCATCGGGTTCGGCTGTGGCGATGAAGGGTACGTAAACGTCCAGAACGCGGCGGTTTTGTGCTGCGATGAACGATCGGTAGGCTGCAAGCGAGGCCGCGATATCTTCTTGAGATGAGGGCATGTTGTGAGGTGGATCAACGCCGATATCTCGTTCAGAAAAAGAACCAAACTTCGATCGCGGTGATAAAGAAACAAATTGGTCGGGCACATATGATGTTTGGTAACAAAAGAGCTAATGCAGATAATTCAATGACCCCACATCGGACGCTGGTGCCTAGAACTGATAATAGTCTTCCATCGTTAATAATAAGATCTCAGGCTTCATGCTTGCTGAGGTCGACAACGCGAGTTGCCTGGTCCTGTTAGGCTGTCTTCCACTGACGCGGCATGTTATTACTCCAAATTTTACAATGAAGCAGAAGTTGCTGATGATCGCTTCAACTTGATCGTATTTTCTATCTTTTCTGTGTTGCCTCAGGCTTGCTTCTGATTGCTGGAAACGAAATTGCGAACCTACAGGAAACCAACGAGAGTCGTCTCATAGCCGCCAGATGGGCCCTTGCCGCTGTGCCGCATCGCAACTGCATGATTTTACGAGTGGCTCGCTACCAAAGGTAAAAGAATGCGGGTTTCTGCAAGTGAATTGCAACAAATATGCATGGTGTCTTCAGCCGAGAAGAGGGGAACCTGGAACCAACAAGGCCGAGTCTCCCAATGTAGCCACATCGCCGGAGGGCAGAATGAGTTATGATCTGACTTATATACGCTCGAAAGAATTCTTAGCCGCTTGAAAATCAAGATTTCTTAGTTTCTCTTTTGCCGACAACCGTGCTGTCTTTTTCCAATATGTCTGATCAAAACGCTACAGCCAGAGCTGGGCTCAGCAATAACGCTCTCAAGAAGAAAGAACGACCATCTCACGCTGCCAGCGACGATAGCAACAGTGTGCTCGCTGCCGATGAGGTCAAAAATCACAAGCACAATGAAGCGTACAATTGCTGACTCGCTTGACTTTTAGGTCGCGGTTGACGATGTCTCTTCCATCAGCGGAGTGAGCGATAGAATCTGACACATCATGAAAGCACGACGTTGAAACATTTCTTACACAGGTAACCTTCGCCTCTTCAACGACAAGCGTCACTGGCTCCGTTCTCGAGTATCGACAAGAGAATGGACGGACTTATCACGCGTACAAGGAAGGGAGTAAGTCTGTATTTGTCATCAGCTACAAGAACGAGGTCTGACCTACCGAATTCAGAGTACATGGCGCCAAATGACACCAAAGAGATCGATCGACTTGGTAAGAGCTTATGATGTTGCACACGTGGAGCGTTTGTAGCTAAGTAACCGTAGACTTACAACACAACCTGTTTATTCGCACCTTTGACGACCGACTTGGAACTGCACCGCCCAGCCAGTCAGGCTCTAAGGTTGGGCGTGTATTGGATGTTGGTACAGGTTCGGGCTCTTGGGCCATTGACTTTGGCGACGAGCATCCTGAGGCTGAGGTTGCTGGATACCCGATTACTCCTTCTCCTTGATGCGGTATACTGATCTTTCACAGGTTCTCGGCATTGATCTGTCTGCCGTTCAAACCACATTGTATGGGATCCCCTGAGAAACTTCTCCCGAGTTTCATTCCGAAATATTGACGCTTGTTCTAGCGTACCGCCAAACGTGACTTTCATAGTCGACGATATCGAAGAGCCATGGACCTTTTCGCAGCATTTCGATTACATACATAGTCGAACCATGACCGGAAGTATCTCTGACTGGAAGAGATATGTCCAAAGATGCTACGAGTAAGCCACATACCTCGGCCAATACGCCACGCTAACAACACAAGCAACTTGAACCCTGGCGGCTACTTGGAGCTCAACGATATCGATGCTGTACCTGTCTCAGATGATGGGACCTTGACTCAAGACAGCGCGATTTTGAAGTGTGCAGACCTCTGCCTGAAGGCGATGGTCATCTTCGGATCGCCTTTCCAGGAGTTTGGTCGTCTCGAAGGGGTTCTGAAAGAGGTCGGGTTCACCGATTTGCAGGTCCATCGCTTTAAATGGCCGACCAATAGCTGGCCCAAAGATCGGAAGCATAAGGAGATTGGTGCCTGGAACTATGAGAACATTGCGCCCAACTTCGACGGGTTTATCATAGCTCCCCTGACACGAGCCCTCCGCTGGACGAAAGACGACGTTGTCGCCCTTGCCACTGAAGTTTGCAAGGAACTTGGCGACAAGAGCATCCACGCCTACTATAACATGTGAGTGGTAGTCGTTGTTAAAGGGAAAGACATGTTGCTAATTCGGGTAGTTGGTCCATTCACGGAAGAAAGCCTCTGTGAGCCAAAGGAAGTTGATTCATAACGGAGGTTGGGAATTTGACCAAATGATGATTTACCGAGAGGCCAATGGGTTAGGAGAAGCGAGCTGCTTGTCAAGCAAAAGATGTTACATGTACTTCACTTGGAATTGGACCAGATGTGCACTTCAGAACAAAACATCGAGAAGTGACAGCGACTATTACGGACCAATGTCCTCCAGAGAGCTGATTCAAGCCTACTTAAGAGTTCACTAGTCAGGCAGGTGAGTCTAATCAGTCAACCAAAAGATATACCACCTCATCATTGTCATTACAATCACTCTCACTGCCCTCATTATCTGTTGTCTCTGTCCGGTGCGCCAGCATAGCAGAGTTCCTACCCAAAGCAAACCCCATCATATTACCTACGGAAGGCAACTTAACCAGAGTCGGCTGCAATCATCTTCTATCTGAATGCTCCACAGCTCAGATTTCGGCCCTGACTTTGACCCCAATCCTCATCCGTCCATGTTGTCCTACACCACAACGCCATGTCTCACCTCAGCTCTAAGCAACCAATCCCCATTTCCTCACACCTCACGATCTTTCCATCATGGTTTCGAAACATTCATCGTCGTTCATTCACAAGCGGGCGATTGGTTTAGTGGTATAACGATCCCTTCGCATGGGATAGGTCCTAGGTTCGATTCCTAGATTGTCCATTCTTTTGCCCCTCGTGATGGGGCTTTTTGCTGCCGTGCTTCCTGAGAACGCCACAAGTCCGTTCTCGACTTCCGACTGGACCAGACCTCCCCCAATGCCCATTCCGGAGCATTCCTGTGCATATGAGAAGCTGAAAAGCATGCTCTTTCGTTAAATGGGCGATTGGTTTAGTGGTATAACGACCCCTTCGCATGGGGTAGGTCCTATGTTCGATTCATAGATTGTCCACGCATTGCTTTTTGCTGTGTTTTACCCGTGCCTGGTGGCATCTCGCCGAGAGTGTCAACCATTTGAAGCGTTTAGGCACGTGGTAGGAGGCTTTTGTGACCAACAACGAATCATACGGCGATCGGGCCTCCTTACCTGAACCGCATTTAGGTCTAAACCAGGTAAGGATACATAGAGCAATGAACAGACGACGGTGAAGGAGCTGCGAGTGCTGTACTCAACCTTTACCGTATAGTTCCCTAACCATCATTCTTTTTTCTCATAGCATTCATTAGGATAAACGAACAGCACACTTCAGGTCTGAGACAATGGCGGTGAACGGTCTACTGAAGACACATACTTCACCAGCAACAATAACATTCGTGCAGCAGCCTACGAATGCTGTGAACAGCTGAAGAGAACTTGAGCCAATGAAAATGGCTATGCCAACACATCGCGTTCCTCGCGAATAGCTAACCAATGCATAAGTCTCCTAGAAGAGATCGCAAAGATGCTCAGGTTGCGTTGTTGAATCAGTGACTAAACATCACCACTGTGGAGAATTGGGAATGCAGATTCAGCCATAAAAGCGCATATGAGCTGCATCAGATCTGACAGCAAACCAAAATTGTTGTGATTGTCGTCGTTTTCTCTCTGCATTCGCTGCATTCGACAAGGGAGCCGTATATAAATTACGCGTACACAACGTGCCAGTCGAGATCAAGATTCGATCTCATCCATCAGATTCGACTACCACGTCTTCGAAGATTTGGGAAGGAATACGCTCCAGACGATGGCAGTGATCTATGATAGAAAGGCGAGAAAGCCTATGAAGCGGTGCGCGGCAGATATGAATCAAACTCCGTGGAAGTTTGAGGAAGGCTGCACTGCTGAAGTAACGTTGAGACTTTGTTTATAACATCGCATGCACTCGGTCTTTATCGAAGCCAAATCGCAAAAGGGAGATCTATAAGATACTAGACTACCACCACTTTAGCGTAGTCCCATAATGTTTTCAATGCATAAAAGAGCTGTGATCCATGCCGAGGTTTTATCTATAAGAACGAAGGAAACAGATATCTCAGGTGCTGCAGTGGGCTCTTCTGTTTAGCAAAACAATCTAGGGCTGATTTGAGACGAATGCAAATTAGATGATGTCCCATCACATACGAGAATGTGTCACAAGAGTCACTAGGTTATAACTAAGTGAATGCACCGTAGAAAATACGGGTTCCAACCGGCGAGTCCGAACGGCACCCTCAGAGCAAAGTATCATGTACCTAGGGGAGAGACTTGCCGGCTCGTGGTCACTACTCACTTTACAAGTACCCAGCAGGCCGCGATTAACGAGATTTCTTCTTCTTCAGATGCGAGTGCTGTTGCCGACTCCATAGACGAAGGCAATGCCTGGTTCTATATTACACCCAGCTCCCTAACGCAATTGGCACTCACGAACAAACCACGCTCAACTGAGCATATATAAGGCAGGACACCTCGCCGTTAAATCTCACTGAAACGCACAATGCTCTGGCCGCGGCGTGCTAGAAAGATCGCTGATTTTCTCAATTGAAGTCGAAGTAGGGCCAAAAGTCAGCAACGGTAAGTGAGGAATGGAAAGGCTTGCTCTTTACTACGGAGCCTCCAGAGCGCTGTTCACCTGGACTTCAAGGCGAATAAGCCATAAGAACTAACACAGGAAGACGGTATCATTGCCTCCGACAAAATATCAAATTAATCGGACAGACTCCACACTTTCACCATACTCAGAAAGGCTATCCTCCCAAAAAAAGAAGTTCCGAAAATCCCGAAACTCAATTTGATGTCCTCTGATTGGCACCCGCAAGTAGACCTTATAACCGCTTATTGCATAGTAGCACAGCTAGCAAGACTGGCACCTGGCTGCTTTTCGTCCCGCGCAGTATATATTCAGATACCCATCTCCCTTCGAAGACGACTCAGGCACAAGATGAGCTCGCTCAAAGTCGTGGATGGCACTTCTTCACGATGGTCACGGGGACATTTGAAGCAGCTGCAATCACCAAATGTCACCCTTTGACGAAAGAGCAGCTCGCGCTACTGATGATATGATATAAGGACTCATCCCCATTTTCTGCCGTTTTCCCTCACGTATTCACCTCTGAAATAATCTCACATTGCCACGAAATCCTGCCATCTATTCCTCTCAAGGTCCACGGATTCGGGAAATCCTTGCCAAATACAACGGGTGAGCGGGGTGGCTGAAGACTCTTGAGCAGCCGCTACTGTACCGACGACTAATCACGGATGTCATTGTCACGGTTGATCGGGAGTGAAAAGAAGAACGAACGCAGACGAGCAATCCATAATTTAGATTAGACAACGTAAGGTATGTTTTCTTTTTTCAACACGCGTGCCCCGGGACCCTTAGCGCTTAACCTCTGCCACCTTCACAACGTTCCAAGGCACCTATAAATGTGAACACCCCTCTTCCTAAAGTGTCCTTGTAGCGAAGCAACGGGAAATGTTTCTCATCCTGTATCAAGTTCCTAGAGGGTCGTTCTCGACAAGTCAGCTACACCAATCCACTCCAAAAGTGTAAGACGTTGGAGTCACGGCTCCCGCAGTCACGTCACATTAGTTAAACATCTTCATCCATCATGTTCTCTTTCGTATCCGCCTGAAAAACAATCCCGCACCGCTACGACATCTTATCGCCTGTTTCCTTGACCCTCAGTGTTCGCAATCAGGGGATTCTCGCTGAAAACGATAGGTTGCTGGGATTTCCTCAGTATTCACTAGCGCAGTATAATTGTTGGGATGGGGAAAAAGCTAGAACGAGACGAAAACACCGTGATTTATACCCAAGAGTATCCGAATCAAGTGTTCTTCCAGCGCGGACCCCGGCCCTCATTCATTCACCTCCTGTGGCTATATAATCCCACCACACTCTTATCTTTCCTGCTCACAGACAATCGAACCCAGTCTTATCCTCATAAATGACACTAGTAACGAGAAACAAGTATCAACCAATCAAATCCTGGAGGTGGTCACCCAAATTCAAAAAGACAGAACACCATTCAACCCCATCTTCCTCCAATCCGTAGCCGTCCCCGCCTTCTGACGTGTATCACGTCCACAATGCCACAAAGTCAACGATGCCAGCTAACAACCGCAAATCCACGATATCCCACCGCCTGTTGATTGAGTCTGATTCCTTACACGGGAGAGATTCTTGTTGTACATAACAGGTCATGAATAATTCTTTAGCAGATCCCAATGCAACCACTTTGAAGCGACTTGTATTGTGAAAGAAGAGAAGGGGTATCATACGAGCAAGTTATGTTTTATACCTGACAGAGTCAGGCATACTGCCTCCTCAACATAGTCTCTTCCTTCACACACGTCACCTCTCCACCACTCCAACGTGCAGGGCTTCACCAGCAAACTTTGGGTATATAACACGGTGGGAGTCGCGACATTACTTTTCCTGCAGACAAGTAATGGAATCTTTTCGAAAAGCGAGGTTTGAATAAAGAGAAGCATCCAGCCTAGCGCTCAGCGGTGACCCCTTCCCTGAGGCAGTGATCCCCAAACCTCAAGGAATCCACGCTCCCTACAATCACATCTTGGCCTGTTTCTCCCACTCATCGCCGTCCTCGGCTGCGTATCCCATTTTTAAACCCAAAAGAAACCACGCCAGCTATTGTATGCTCTTCAAATTCATTCATCCATGCTACAAGATCTCACGCGGCCTCAGTTTCCAGACGTACTACAGCTTATCAAGCTCAACACGCAAATCCTCAGTCATCACTTGTGTCAAACAGGCTGCGAAGATTGGATTGAGCCTGAACACAACACGCTTATCACCCCCAATTTATACAAACACCCCGCCCCTAAGCTCAGCTACCCCTTGACACGACCACGAGAAGATCAGATGAGCCCGCCGAATATAAAAGACCAGCTAAGCCCCATGCTTAAATCCCAGGCGGCCAGGAATCGCCTTTTCCGTTGAGTCTGTTCCTAATAACCAAGGTTCATTTACACCTAACGACCTACATCCTTTCCAAGTCCAAGAGTATCTATTACAGGGCGCAGGATACCCAAAAGTCCCTTCAGACCGTGTATTACCCCGTT